AAAGTACATAAAATATTTGTGCAGCACAGAATTTTAAACGAGAACTTGAATATCATTGTCTTTTCCACGGAAACACAACGTTGAACTATATCTGTTCATCATTTCAAATCAGTTCAAAGAATGTTACTAGTAACACCTGATACGAATTATAACTATGAACACAATATAAAACTCCAAATAAATAATTTAAAATGTTATATTACATGTAACACGAGAAGAGGTAACATAGATCTGAACCCAATTATAGGATGTTGTTTATAGTGGCTGTGGTGGTGGTGGTTTCTCTGAAGGTGGTTCTAGTGGCAATGGTAGAAAGTGGTAGTACGGTTGTACTAGTAGAAGCTTGCATTCTCGGTTGATGTAATAGTGTAGGCGAGTTCCATCCATATTGATAGGGTAGTATGGGTACAGGATCGATTGTGGATAATATTGCATGGCTGATGGCGACGATAAGGAAACACCGGGAGACATCGAATCACTTCGTTGGGGCCCGGGGACGGCAACTGCAGTCTGTATTTGGTTGGGTTTTTTGCTATTAACATTTCAACGGGTGTACTTTTTCCACGTTTAGTCAACGCTACTGCATCGGCTACTTCAGTTAAATGGCGAGTTCCATTGTTAATTATGGTCTTGAACGACTTGTACGCAATTTCTAAGTTAGCTGGTAGTTTCCCTTTGTAGTATTTATTCAGAATCCCGATGTCAGTCTGCAATTGTAAATTATAAAGTCGTCTGCTGGTTGCATCGACCATGTACTTAGTGGGATTAGAACGAATAAAATGTGACTCTTTCTGAAATTGTTGTTCACTCTTTCGTATGATTTCATTTTTACATAACATTCCTGTAGACTATCATGTATTTCCTTGTACTCATCATATTAATCATAACTCTTTCTTTTTCATAACTATGTATATTTCCATTGGCAATCGGTAGACGTACTTTTGTCCTACGTCTTTTGGTAGCGTTGCGTAGTCCATGTAACAGCTCCTGCTGTTCGGTTGAGGGTGAATATTGACACGACACAGTTGATTGGATAAAACACAACTTTCAACGCATTGATCACTTTAATCACATCTAGTAGATATACAAGGTCAAGTTACGATAGAATATTGGCAGTGACAATGACAATGGTTTCAACTGTAAAATGAATAAAAAAGAAAATAAATAAAGAAATTACAAAGGTATAAATAATGTACAAGTATAATGTAAATACATAATTTTAGACAATAAAATATGATTCACACATTGGTAATATTCGCGGCTTACAGACCAATAATAGCGAACAATAAAAATACAGAAGTAGGTGTTGCGATACAAGTCAATTACATCACACATGGAGATAGCGGTCACGTGATAAGCATCGAGTGAAACAAAATTGCACATAATCGAAATAAGGTTGCGAATCTTGAGATATAACAATAAATCGTTGAATCAGATTAACTAGACACGCATAAATCACTAATTAAGGCATTGGTTGCACAATCATCGATCAAAAACAAATACATAAAGTTTCACGGAATTTTCCACATCATGTCGACCTACGACGCCTCGTGTAAAATTGCATTTAGAAACCTCGCTGAATTCACTCATCAAAAAATTAGTAATTCTGAACGATGTCATTATTACAGTAACAGGAAATAAGATCACACTTACGTTTGTGTCTTGACCATGGAATAGCGTGAATTGAATGACGAATTGAGCGTTAGTGACGAGTCAAAATCAAATGCCGCGGTAGCGTGAAAACTTGTGATCTTCAAAAGGTAAAAGGTCAACTTTGAACAAAACGAAAGGGCCACTAGAGGGCGCCACATATCTAACTGTGTTGCAAACCGGCAGCAACACTCCGGCCCCTTAAAGGCGAACAATTGAGCCTTTATAACATTACTATCTAAATTACAAAGCAATGTAAACAATAAATACAAGTATGACTGTCATTAGGGGTAGACTACCCTTCAAGTCGACACTGGGGATTATTCTGCCCCTCTGTAAACAAGAACACAATAACAATCGACATACTGTCAGACACAGATATTGCCACTGTTCAATGTCTAGTCTTTTCCAGAAATTTCAAGGCACACAATCTTCGTAATTGGTCTTACTAGCATCCCAGTTGATGTTCTTAACTTCACTGAGCGAACCATATTATCTGAGGTGGTTCTAAATACTTCCACAACCTGAGCAAGAGGCCATGAACATCTTGGAGCTGATGGATCATGAACCAAAACAACATCGCCCATCTTGACATTATCTCTTGCTTTGCGCCATTTTTGTCTCTCCTGAAGAGCCGGTAAATACTCTTTTATCCATCGATGCCAAAACACATCAGCAAGATATTGTGCTTGGCGCCAACGCTTTCTCACGTAACAGTCCTCCTTGACAAATACTCCTGGTGGAAGTTTCGGTCCTGCTCTCAGCAAGAGCAGGTGGTTTGGTGTGAGGGTTTCACAATCCTTCGAATCATCTGATAACCTCGTAATAGGTCTCCCATTGACTATCATTTCAACTTCACAGAAAAGTGTGTGAAGGACTTCATCATTGACGGTCTGTTCAGTTGTCAAGGTACTCAACACCTTGCGCACAGTTCTGATGCAACGTTCCCATACACCACCTTGATGTGATGCTGTTGGGGGGTTGAATTTCCACTCAACCTGATTTTGTAGCAAGTATTGGTGAATTTGTTCTTGATTCCAGTTCTCTATGGCCAATCGCAGTTCCCTTTCACCTTTCACAAAATTTCCTCCATTATCGGACCTAATTAGCTGTGGCTTACCACGTCTAGCTATGAATCGCCGCAACCCATTCAAAAATGAGTTTGTGTCCAGTGAATAAGCTACCTCGAGATGCACAGCTCGAGTTGTAAGGCAGGTGAATATTATACCATATCTCTTCAACATGGACCTTCCATTTTTGACATAGAAGGGTCCAAAGCAATCAATGCCTACACAAGTGAAGGGAGGCAAGGCGGGAGTAACTCTATCTATTGGCAAATCGGCCATCTTCTGATTGGGTGGTCGAGCATGTCTTTTCCGGCAATCAACACAGTTCCTTGAAGTTGCTTTGGCAGTTGCACGCCCACCAATGGGCCAAAACCTTTGTCTGATTTCACTAAGAGTGTGATTTGTACCAGAATGACCAGTACAAATATGATAGTGGCGAACAATGAGTGTTGTGACATGATGACCCTTTGGTAAGATTATCTGATGTTTTGCATCTTCATTAATTTGTGCATTTCTCAGTCTGCCACCAACTCTCATAACACCTTCTACTAGAATTGGGTCAAATTTTACCAATGGGCTATTTGAATTAACTTGTTGACCATTGCGCAGGGACTGAACTTCAGCTGCATATGACTGTTGCTGGATATACTTCACTATAGAAATTTCAGCACCCTTCCATTCCTCCACTGAGATTGGTCCTGCGACCCCTTTTCCCTTTGACTCGACAATGTGTTTCCATCTCAGTATCCAGGCTACAACCTTTATTAGTTTTGGCCAGCTGGAGAAGTGATTCATTAAGTAACTAACACTGCAATCCCTTCTAACTGAAACCATAGATACAGCCTTCAATTCTGGGTCCCTTTCAGAGATACCCAGGTCAGCAGGATATTGTGGCCATTCACTTTCGTCTTGTTTCAAAAACTCTGGTCCAGAGAACCACAGATCACTCTTAATTAATTCCATTGCCCTCATCCCACGAGAAGCAAGATCTGCTGGGTTCTGCATTGAAGGAATGTAGTGCCATTGATCCTTGCTAGTATGAGACAAGATAGTTGCAATGCGATTGCCCACAAACGTTTTGAAGCGTGTTGTTTCATTATTTATGTATCGTAAGACGCATGTGCTGTCCGTCCATAGAATAGATTTATCGATCTTGATCTCCTGAAGTTCGTCGCGAATCATCTGGTCCAAGCGACATGCTAAGACTGCAGCCTGGAGCTCCATTCTTGGGATCGTCTGCATTTTCACGGGGGCAAGGCGAGACTTTGCTGCGACAAGCGCACAACTGAATATACCTTCTGCGTCCTTCTGACAAAGATAGGAAACAGCACCATAACCCGTTGATGATGCATCACCAAAGTGATGTAGTTCTCGATACACAACCGCTCCAAGTTTCGGCTCTTTATAACTACGCCGAATTCTCAATGTTGTCAGATGGCTCAAGTCAGACAGCCATTTGTTCCACTCAATCTCGATTTTCTTAGGAATGTCTTGGTCCCATTTACAATTAAGTAAGCACAGTTCTCGAAGCAGAAATTTTGCCTTCAGTATAAATGGAGATACCAATCCCAATGGATCATACACCGAAGCTACCACTGACAAGATACCTCTGCGTGTACTGGGTTTGGGTTTTGGAGAGATAACATAGCCAAGACTGTCTTCCTTGATGAACCACTGGACTCCGAGAGCCCGTTGCAAGTCACCACCTCCCAGAGATGATAGATCCTTTGATTTATCCTGTTGAAGGGCATTCAATAACTTTACGGAATTTGAACTCCACTTGGTCAGGTTGAAACCACCCTTTGCAAGCAGATGCTTAAGATTTAGAGCAGTGCTAATCGCCTCATCTTCACTATCTAAAGACTTGAGACAGTCGTCAACGTAAAAGTTGTTTTCAATAGTATTAGTGATATTCTGCTCATGTTCTCCTGCACGGTCCTTTGCCACATTTCTAAGGGCAAAATTGGCACAACTTGGTGACGATCGTCCACCAAAAAGATGTACCCGCATTTGATATTCTTGTGGAGAATTATTCAGATTACCATTTTCCCACCAAAGGTAAGTTAGGTAGTGGGAGTCAGTTTCAGGCACTCTAACTTGGTAGAACATTTTCTCAACATCAGCCGAGAAGGCAACTTGACTGAGGCGAAACCGCATCAACACACCCATTAGGGAACTGGTTAAGTCCGGCCCCTGTAGAAGAAGGTCATTAAGGCAAACATCTTTGTATTTTGCTGAGCAGTCAAATACTATACGCACCTTCTCCGGCTTTTGAGGATGTATGACTGGGTGATGTGGTAGAAACCACCTTGATTCATGGCCTACAGCGGAACACACCTTTCTAGCATAGCCGTCCTGGACTAAGCCTTCCATGAACTTGGTGTACTTCACCTTTAGAATGTAGTCTTTCTCAAGTCGAACCTTGAGAGAATTCAGCCTTTTCAAGGCCATTGACTTGTTGTTGGGTAGCACTTGAGGATCTGTCTTCCATGGCATAGCTACTTGATAATGACCATCTTTGAAGCAAATTGATCGTTTCATGATGTTGATGGCCTTCAAGTCATCACGAGACATCACAGTTTTTCCTATATTAGTGTCATTGAAGTCAATGTTACAAAATGTTTTAAATTGTTCATCAAGAGAAGAATACTCTAGGCATTGCCTATTGGAGTTAATGAAATTACACATGTTCTCTTGTTGGCCTATATATAATGGACCATTGACGACCCAACCACACAATGTTCGTGTAGCATAGGGACCACCATTAGTTGATGTTTTGACCTCAAGGGGTTGATGCAGTTCTGGAATGTTAGTGCCAATCAATAGTCCAACTTCTTCATTAATATTTGTCACCTGAACACCATCAAGATGTGGCCACTTATTGATTTCTTCCTGCTTAGCAATTGTGTGGCTGTCCACTGGCAAAGTTGGAATAGTAAATACTTCGGGAGCCATAACGACAATATCCCCATTCAAATTGGAGATTTCAAGTGTTAGTAGTCTCCGTTGATTGGTAGATGTGCGGTCTATTGTCTTCAAGTCAATTTCGGTTTTCTTACCCTGGACGCCTAATTTCTGAGCAAGAGATTCAGTACAGAAACTTATGTTTGATCCATTGTCCAAGAATGCATATGTCTTTACAGTTTTTCTTCCTCCTGAGCACCTAACACTGACAGGCACTGCTGCAAACCCAATGATGCTATTTTTGCAAGTAACGGCTGTAGATGTACCCTGATGCGACTCACTCAGATTTTGAGCTTGAATTGAAGATGATGCTGGCGAATTACTAGGTGTGGTTGTTTGATGTGTCGTAACTGGATGAAGAAAACTTGAATGCTTATCAGCACACAGCTTGCAAAAACTTCCCTTTCTGCAAGTACTAACAAAATGACCAGGGTTGAGGCAATTGCGACACAGCTTCTTTTCTTGCACAAACCTCCTACGTTCCCCAACTGACTTCTCCTTGAATTCCCCGCACTGTGACAGCCAATGTGAAGAACTACACAGGGGACAGTTCCTTCTAAATGGTTTTGATTCAGAAATGTGAGGTGACACACTAACTGCAAACGATCTACCACTTTCCTTTTGTTGATTGGAAATTACAGAGAAACTTGGATCATTTCTCATTACTGATTCTTGATGAATGAAATTGTAGAACACTTCAAATGGTGGAAATAAAACGTTGTTGTTTGTCTTGAAACTAGCACCATGCTTCATCCACGAAACTTTCAGGCTTGGAGGTAGTTTTTGTATAACTACATTGAGCCCATGGGCAGAGTCAAGGCTGGCAAGACCAGGATATTTTCCAGACTCCTTCATGTGAAGAACTTCTAGAAGTAGGTGATCTAAATGCTGCAGCTTGATTGATTCCTTAATGGTGAACCTTGGAAATTCTTGTAGACAATTCATCAAATCTTGTTCAATCACCTCTACTGCACCATATGTTTGGTCCAGGAGATTCCATATATGTTTCAGAGCTTCGATTGGTTTGTCTACATAAACACTTTGAAGTGGTGTAACCAGTTCTCGTGAACTGTTTCCCAACCATCGCATAATCAGATTTACCTCTTGTGAGGGGGGTACATTTAACTCACTTATAGTGTTCATCATTAATGCCTTCCAGGCCCTGTAAGAAGTTGCACTGTCATTGAAAGTTCGAAGACTGGAACTCAATAGCTCTTTTCTGAACATTATGTTGCCCATTTCAGTGATCACATTTGCTGATTGATCAGACTGACTCTTGGTGGACTGTTGGCTGATGTTAACTAACTGCTCCTCCACATGAGTGGATTGTTGTTTGCTCTGAGGAGTGCCTGATTGACCTGTTGTCAAAGGTAGTGCTGGGGATGGCAAAGTCACATCATTCACACCGAGTGGAGAAAGAAGATTCACATTTCCTTGAGGGGGTTGAGCTGACCACCATGGGTCTTCAAACGACAGCACTTGAGATCCCAGCTTCTCCTCTCCCTTTGTGACATCTTCGACTGGGTTTGACTCTAGGGCTTCATATACCCGTTCTTCCGCCTCTGACTCAGCAAGCTGAGTTTCTTGCTCGAAACGTATCCTTTGTTGCTTTAATTTGAGCTCCTCCAGTTCGAGTGCTTCTGTCTGGGCCAGTCTTTGCAGTCTAACTTTCAAAGCTGCACCCTTGGCTGCTGCTCTTGCCTTTGATGATGCCGTACTGGCACTTGAGATACGGAATATTGTCTGGTTGATCCATGACATCAGAACTTGAAACTGTACAGCTTCTGCTGTTCAGTTGAGGGTGAATATTGAAACGACACAATTGATTGGATAAAACACAACTTTCAACGCATTGATCACTTTAATCACATCTAGTAGATATACAAGGTCGAGTTACGATAGAATATTGGCAGTGACAATGACAATGGTTTCAACCGTAAAATGTAAATATATCATTCAGAGATGCACTAGACAATAAAATATGATTCACAAATCTGTAATATCCGCGGCTTACGAACCAATAATAGCGAACAATGAAAATACAGAAGTAGTTGTTGCGATATGTTGTTATTACAGTAACGGTAATTAAGATTACACTTACGTTTGTGTCTTGACCATGGAATAGCGTAACTTGGATGAATTGAGCTTTAGTGACAAGTCAATTCAAATGCCGCGGTAGCATGAAAACTTGTGACTTTCAAAAGGTAAAAGGTCAACTTCGAACAAAACAAAAGGGCCACTAGAGGACGCCACATATCTAACTGTGTTGCAAACCCGCAGCAATACTCCGGCCCCTTAAAGGTGAACAATTGAGCCTTTATAACATTACTATCTAAATTACAAAGCAATGTAAACAATAAATACAAGTATAACTGTCGTTAGGGGTAGACTACCCTTGAAGTCGACACTGGGGATTATTCTGCCCCTCTGTAAACAAGTACACAATGATAACCGATATACTGTCAGACACAGATATTGCTACTGTTCAATGTCTAGTCTTTTCCAGAAATTTCAAGGCACACAATCTTCGTAATTGGTCTTACTAGCATCCCAGTTGATGTTCTTAACTTCACTGAGTGAACCATATTATCTGAGGTGGTTCTAAATACTTCCACAATCTGAGCAAGAGGCCATGAACATCTTGGAGCTGATGGATCATGAACCAAAACAACATCGCCCGTCTTGACATTATCTCTTGCTTTGCACCATTTTTGTCCCTCCTGAAGAGCCGGTAAATACTCTTTTATCCATCGATGCCAAAACACATCAGCAAGATATTTTGCTTGGCGCCAACGCTTTCTCACGTAACAGTCCTCTTTAACAAATACTCCTGGTGGAAAGTTTCGATTCTGCTCTCA